CCACCACCTTTCATTACCAATAAAAATAATCAAGAGTAGTTTAGTCCAAATCTGGATTCACTACTTAGACGTACCATGGAGGGGGGGGGGAGTTAATTAAGACAATTCCTGAGGCCTCTGAGTGACAGGGGCCCTAAAAAAATTTGCAACATGATAGGTTTGGTCTGGATTCGGAGTCGAATACCTCCCAAAATATCCAGCGGGGACTCAATCGCTAGTCAGCAATTACCTCAATGAAGCACCCCGACAGGCCAACAGTGAATGAACTTCTGTCACTCGACTAGGAAAATAAAGTTGAGCAGGAATCAGAATCATGTGGGCTGTTTCTTTGTCAGGCAAGACCCTAATATACCTGCTGAGGAAACAGAAGGCTCCCCCATGGCTGCAAAGACAGGTAGACGCCTATACAAGACAGGCAGCGAGTGAACTGAGATGAGGGGGCACAACATCACACTGCAGATGGTACACAGACTCTGTCACTTCTGGCTGGCCCGGCATAGAAGGATAACCCCTCCATGGAAATGTCCACACCCACCTGATGCCCAGTAGCCCTGCCAACCTCAACAGTCCTGCATAGTGACACTCAGGTGAATGGTCGGCCTCCATCCAGCTAATTACCAGGAGGGGTCAGCACCCCAATCCCACCATGCAGCAGGCGCACAGGAACAGACACCCAGATCTTCCCCTGATCCTGGATTGGACAAACACACCTGGATCCATCCCTGATTCTGGATAGAAGAGGCACACCTGAGCCACACACCCACACCCACACACACACACAGAAGTGACGACTGGCTTCCTCTACAGCACCGGGACAATCCTCTATAAGTTTGTCCAACACTTCTCACCGCGGCAAAGGCAACAGACAACTTTCTGCTTCTTTAAAATCTTCGACAACAGACTTAAGCAGAAAATGTCCCCCAGAGGAGTTGATGACTGTAACCGGTGTGGGTTTGTCTGCGCGATTTTCTCCCAATAACAGCTTAACTACCTTGTGATCAGGCAGGTAGTGGCTCCTGCCTTGTGCCTTTTTAATTAACAAGATTTCACAGTGCCACCCCGCAATTCCCCTGGTCCTCACAGCTCACCAGCACTGTGAGCTTCACCGCAGAAGATGAGGCCGAGTCCTCGGGAGACACGCGTGTCTCTGGAAAAGCCGCTTCGGTCCCAGTTATCACATTAAGGACAACTCAGTAATATTCCCTCTGCTCCAGACAGTGAGAAAAATTTTCAATTTTGGAAACTCCAGTCCTCTAAGTGACAGAAGGAGGGACAGAGTGATTATAGCTAGGAAAACTGTGTGTCTGTATGTGTGCTTTTTAATTTAATATAATGTAATATAATTTAATTAATAGTATAAATATTTCATTTCCTAATTTCTTTCTTGCACTGACTATTTTTAGTATGAGTAATAATTTAGTTTGTTTGTGTCTATGTGACAGTTGTTTTTGTTGTTGTTTGTATGTCTGTGCTGTGATGACAGTGGCAGTGGTGGGGGCTGTGTCCCACGCTCACAGAGAAAACGCCCCAGGCTCGAGGCCCCTCAAGAGACACCCCAGCCGGCATGATCCCCCCCACACCCCCTTTTGCCTGAATGACAGCCTGTCCCAGTGTGAGAGTGAAGGACCCCAAAGGAGCTGTCCAGGGCTTTGCCTGACTGAAATGTACCTAGGACATAAAACCAGAAGCGAGAGCCTTCACCCAGCTTAAATGACCTCTGGATAAACTTGGGGTCCCTCCTGATTTCTGAGAATGTACATAAAGACTCTGAGAAAGTGCAGAGTCTCTGCTTGATTGGCACATGACTTTGAGTGCAGATGTGGGAGCAGTATCAGATGGTATGATATTCTTTTTTTTGGGGGGGGGGTGTGAGGCTGCCACATGAACACACACACACACACACACACATCAGTACAAACACACACCAGCATTCTGCAGATCCTTGCTCCTTTGTTCCAGGTTATTTTAACAATAATGCTCTTCACTCCTCTCTGTCACATCCAGAAAATATCACAGTATTTCTCCATGGTATGACAGGCAAAACGTTATCCCAACACCACTGTAGAAATTCAAGAAAGGTGACCTATCTACTGAAAGTGTGAATGCAACCAAGCGAGGGCAGGCGTTTGCCGTGGGCCGACCTCACCCAGTGCCCGTGCAGATAAACCACAGCTAAGGACAGTGAGGGCTCTTTCTGTAGCATAAACACACAGGAGTGGCCGTGCACAGGTGGACACTCTCACACACACATAGACCTCTTCAGCTTTCCGTCCACATGGTGACAAGGTGACAAATTCCCCCATTTTCTGAACGGACCATCACCAGCTGTGGTGGTGGGGGGGTGCATGCTCCACTGGGCATGGAGGTGGTGGGGGGGGGGGTTGCAGGCTGAGGGACAACCAGACTGTGAAGGAGGGCAACACAGGGACAGCATGTACGGACCAGACGCAGACATACAGAGAGTCCTTCACTGGGAGATCTTCTGTAAGAGACACACTATTAGAGACTAAGAGGACGAGACCAGCTATGGATGATCAGACGGCAGAGTCTTTGTGTACTGTCCAGTGTTTGAGCCCAGGACACGGTCCCACCTTTGGCTAGACCCAAAGCTTCACTCTGTACTGGATTTTATATGTGTGTATGTTTCAAACGAGTCAAGACGAGACATGCGAAAGCATCTTATCACATTTGCGTAAATGGCAAATTAAGCATTGTTTCATTGTCATATCATCATTTTATATACAAAAGTAAATATAGCAAGCAGAGAAGTATTTCAGGAACAGCCTTGTGCTGAACCTGTCAGCTGCTACACAGCCAGCGCGTCTATGTCGAGGACACTCAGAACCAGGTCCGACCGAGTCATGTCACACACTGTCCTGCTCATTCCTATAATCAATCTGCTGGGAGGAATTCATTCAGCGCGTGCATTCCGCATAGATAAATAGAGCTATATGTCTGCGTAAAGCTTTTGGCAGAAACATGCAGATAATCACATTAAACCAGAAAGACACACGTAGATAGTCACACACATACAGATACAGAAACTCACCACAGAGACAGTCATACAAATATACTCACACGTATACAGAGATAACAAATATAGTCACTCACTGCAAAGATATTTGTACGCACAGATAGTCACGAACATACAGATAATCATTCGTACAGAAAGTCATGCACATGCAGACAGATGACATACAAAAACATACCGATAGTCACACATCGTCACATGCCCAAATCTGTGTAGTGATCCCAAATGTAAAAATTTCAAACGGGACACTTACTGTACACAGCAGGCTCATAAAGATGTGAATGGCTTGTATGGGCCCAGAAGACCATCTGTGGTCCCATGAATGATCACACATTTTATATTAAAAAACTTTCTGAATGGAAAAAAAATATATATTCGTCAATTTATTGACCCCTTTAATTGTTTAACGTAATGACAGATGAGTAAATTGCGGAGTGTGTATAGTTCGTCCAAATTATGACGCACACAAATACAGCTTGAATACAATGGACAATACGGAATGAGCGCTCTCGGTGGGGGGGGTTCGACAGCGCCACCTGGCGTCGATAACTAAAACACTCAGATTGTCACCTGACGGTACGTTTTACCACGCGGAGTTTGCTGCTGTATTTCGTTAATTGGTATAGGCTGGTTATGTGTTATCGGTTAGCCTTCCAGCAAATAAGTCAAAGGCATGTCGCCATGAAGCCCTCCATATACTGTTTACCCTGCTGTCGAACTTTTCAACAAATTAAAAACTTTCAGATGAAGTTCTAAAAAAAATATTTTCCAGTTTGATTATAGTCAAAAGAATTTCAAATATTTCTGACTCAGACAATGTCAATAAAACGCGGAGTGACAGTTCTCGGCGCCTGACTTGCACGTTTTCAATGCAAAGTAGTCTTCCTAAATTATTATTTATCACATAAGAAGAAAAGGAAATTCGCCCTGCAATAGGCTATCTTCGGCGGAGTCGCGCTATTGGTGCCCGTTTCCGACATACGGGCGGAGGGAGGGAGTGGAGGGTGAGAAGGAAGGGGGGGCTGAAAACAGGCAGACAATACGTTTGCACAAATGTATTCCGTCCCTCCGTCACTCCTATTGCTCTTTATTAGGGAGCATCGGTTAGTATTCTGCTCTGTACTGAACGCAAACTGGACTGAACAACAGCAGAGCAAAACCGAGAAGGCAGGCAGAAATCTTTCCAGCTACGTTCGTTTCCAGAAGAAAGCTTCGGTATGCGTGAATGTGAATGAAGCCTTACCGATCTCCCACCTTCACAAGAACTGAGAAATATCTGCACTTTGCTTTTGATGTTATCTCTCCGGCTATCTCCTATTGTTATCCAGGTCGGAGTCCTCAGGCAAGACTTTCACAAGATTTTAAATCAGCAGACAGCACTTGCTTCACTCAAAAAAATAGCGTCAAGAACAAAAAAAAAATCAACAAATGCAATAAGTGCAAAACCCGTATAACTGAAAATAAGAAACCGAGGACTAGAGATTATTCTGGTTTATTTGATATAAAGCACATTTAAGGCCTTAAGCAAAAGTGATATGGCATTTTCACGGAGAGTATTATGATGATACTCGAGATGTGCCACTGTAAAAGATCCCAAAGCCAACTCGTGTGTGTGTCTTAAGACCTGCCGCCCAGGTAACTTCTCCAAAGATCTGGCTTCTGTCATCAGCACGCCTCTTACGGTGAGTTGAAATCATTGCGCAAAACAGCCGCGTGTTAACGTCCGGAAATAAGCCGCATTCCTTTAAGTACCACATGAATATTTCTGTGTAACGAATGTTGAAAGGAGAGAAATTCTCTGTGGTAAGAAATGAAAAAGACTTAAAGAAAAAAATCCCTCCCTTAATATATGCCATATATATATATATATATATATATATATATATATATATATATATATATATATATATATAGTATCGGCCTGTAATTTAATACGTACAGTATTGCACGTTTTACTAATTATATCCGTTATCAATAGCTGATGCTTATACATTTGCATTTAAAAAAATGCTGACAACCGCTTCAGGATGCAACAGATTGACCCACATTTTCTTGAGTGTTTTCCGATACTGTTCGTGTTATACGCCCTTCTTGTTTGTTATGTGTTTATGGATTTAAGATGAATTTCATCCAGAAATACTGTTTAGGCCTACAAAAGAGTTTAGAATAGGTCAATACGTTAGAGTATTCTGAACGTGTGTGTGTGTGTGTGTATATATATATATATATATATGTATTTGTATAATAAACAAAATGTATGAATTTGCATACTTAAAAAAATGCTACACTGATTGTTCGTAATTCTGTTATTCAAATTCACGCAAATGATTCAAACTTGATTTCATGTGTTCTTTTTGCTTGTCGCTTATACAGCATACTGTTGTTAACAAATATATACCATGAATTAATTTTCAAACTAAGGAAAGTGTTTAATTAAAATAATTTTTAATATATTCATTCAAAATAATGAACGACAACGATGAAGTGGTTACTATATAAGTTAACTGGACTGCGTAAACAGTAATAATGTCCTGATAGGTCAGCTTTCAAATATTTAAACCGATAGTTCACATCTCTCCACTTTTAATCGTGCTTTAAGTGTTTACCTTCACTATTGACACGAAGTTTCAGTTGTGCTTTCAGTTATATTCAGAGTTTGTTTAAAACTGTTGCTGTTCCATTTCAGCTTTTCCGCATTTAAGTTGGGAAACAAACTGAAAATGATGCTGAGTCCAGAACAACCCGACTCCGACCTGCACTGGGGACAGTCAGATGCCGAGTCGATAATAAATGATATGAAGGTCGGGTGCGTGTCTGACGAGGCGCTGGATGCCGAAGGGAAGACGCGGTCCATAGCCCCGCCGACTCTAAGCAGGGAGGAGAAGCGCAGGAGGCGACGCGCCACAGCCAAGTACCGCTCGGCCCACGCCACCCGGGAGCGGATACGCGTGGAAGCCTTCAACGTGGCCTTCGCCGAGCTGAGGAAACTGCTGCCCACCCTGCCGCCGGACAAGAAGCTCTCCAAGATCGAGATCCTCCGGCTGGCAATATGCTACATATCATATCTCAATCACGTCTTGGACGTTTAGAGTTTCAATAGACTTTAAGTCGATTTTTTAAAATAAAGAAAAGTGTAAAATAATAGCATTTCAGAAAGAAAAGGAAAAACTGGAAGACAATGGGTAAATGAATGCTCTTATTATTACAACTGACCAACGTGGGGCTTCCACAACCAGAGGGGCATGGGAACCTTGGAAGCACGAAGACTAACTTTCACGGAAATTTTAGTTTGAATTGCAAAATGTCACAAATCCAATCACAATCCGCAGAGCAAAAGACATGAAAATTCGATTTAAAACGCGATATTGCAATAATTTAAGCTAATAAAACGATCTATTGTGTGTACTAGAAAACAAAGCCAGTCGTTTGACAAAGATATGCGTACTGTATAAAACGTTTATACAATAACAGTAGCGCCTTTCATAAGTCTGTAAGTATCTTAGATACGTGACTAGCCCTGGATGACAAAATGACCTGATTAAAGCTGAACTAAAGTATACTAGCTGCTTATTTGTGTGTAATATGAAGTTTTCCTTCCTAAAGGGGGGATTTCGCATAAGTGCCACCTTCTTGTTTCAAGTCGTGACCTTAATTATTTTGAAATATTTATCTATTTATTTATTTATTTGTTTGCCTGTTTGTTTATTTATTTGTTCGTTTATTTATTAATTTCTGATTTGTTTCTTGTGTTTATGACAATGTCTTTCATAGATAATTGTTAACGTATATATGTATTGTAATTTTTTGTATTTAGGTAGACCTATAATTATTTATATCTCAAATTATGATGTTTGACTAAAAAGTGACGTTGCTCTTCAATCGCACTTTTCAGTGACAGCTCCCTGTCGATATGTTGTAAATGGATCTGTACGTCATGACGTTTATTTCTGTAACGGTTTTTCTTTTTTAATGTCCCCGGTAAAAAGAGCACTTCGTTTTGAGTAGCGCCCTTAGGTGTATCGTATCAACGTTTGTAGTTTTCAGTGTTAAGGGGAGGGGGCTGGGAATTATAAGGAAAACGTAATTTCCCCCTTAAAACCTTAGCTTTCGAGATGTGCTGGCGCTGTACAGCACCACGACAGAGAAAAAATGCAGAAGTAAAGAGAGCGCCTTATTATGTGACGTCACGGCGAGATCCCCAGTGCTGCGACCAAAAATGATTTCCTTTTGGCTTATGTTTGACTTATATGACTATTGTTTACATGCTGTTATTAGAAAGTCTTCTATTTGTGTACCCGCTCTGCTTTGAACCTCTTAAACAAGATCTAATTTTATAGTGATATGAATATCCAGCATCCAAAGACTGCTTGTATTTTCAGGGGTTTAAGGTGTATTCGTTACCCTGTAGCACACATTTCGTTTAGCCGAGTAGCCTCCGGCTGGTTTCTACCGGACACGGTTTTTCATATCTTATTGGTAAGTTGTTTAGAAAAATAAATATTTAAAAATGAGCGACTTCGTGTTTCTTTGCAACAGAATACAGATCTAACAGCTAGTAGACCTAGCTTTGCATATATTAATGCGAATGAAGTTAGCAAACATCACAAATTCGAATGAAAGCAATAATATGATCACTTATGCTTATTTATTCTTTATTGTCTCCACAACTTGGACATTGCGTAGTTCCACAACTACCTAAGTAAAATATTAGGAAACCGCTCTGACATGTAAAGTACAGCGAACATCAGCATGGGCTTTGATGCAAGAGTTATAAAACATTTCCCATGACAAGTGTAAAATTACTTTATATCCCAGATAGCTAAAATTATATGTAAATTATTTTCACGAACTTACGTGACGTCACAATTTCTCACGGGCTTACCGACGTCAGACCGATCAGAGGATAAAAAAACTTTGAAGGAAGTCATGCTCATCTAGGCAAGAAAGAATGAGAGAAAATGAGGCGAGGAAGGGAGAACGAAGGTGCAGAGAGAAAAGGAAGAGAAAGGGGTGACAGAGAGAGAGAGGAAGTGAGGGAGAGAGAGAGAGATCGCCCATCCTTGTGTGCGGCGCTCCTCTTCGCTTTTGGCTGAAAGGCGCTTTCCCCAGAGAGGGGGCAGGTGTTGGTCCAGACGAGCCAAGACAACCAAATTACTGGCCGTCTGGCACCTCCCGTGGGAAAGAAAAGAGGGAGATCGAAATTTATGCCATGCAAAATTGCCGAGAGGAGCTGTGAAGAAACTGGAAGGTAGTGAAAAGTATTTGGCTACTCTTATTCAACAGAAACAACAACAAATCCAGCGATAATAAATAATAGCTGCAAAATGACATTAAACAGAACGTAAATATTTACAGAGGATAAGACGGGTTTTTATACAATAAACATACAGTACGCACCTTTTAGCATTTAGCCTTCACCCTCAGGGCAAATCATTTAAGAGCGAACAGACTCTCGGGCTCTGGAAACGTGACAATGGTGCTTCAGTGTAATGCTGACAGATACACATATAAATATTCCTCTTCAGATCATCAACGCCATGACTTCAGATTGATTGCAGCCCATAGTATTCTAGCCGTCAACACCGCAAATATATTAATACTCCTAAATATTTTGATTACGCTTCTAAAAAAAAATCAGAGGAACCTGAGTGAATGTTTCTAAAGCATAAGTTCTTCATACAACTTAATACGTTGGTACCTTTGACTATTTTACAAAGCAATAAAGTTCCATTAATCGTCACAGAGCTTAATAATGGTGAATTATATGTATGTGTATGCATGTTTTACTTGCACTTCCGTAGTTTGTACAGAATTTAAATAACCCTAGCCTAATATTTTCTTTAGAGGCGATGGACCGCCTTCCTCCCCAGGGACCAGTGACACCCCCATGCAGCCTCGTACAAGTTTGCTGGATCACCGCAGCTATACCGGAAGAGCGCTTACCAAAAATGATGGAGGAATGGATAGATAAATACATACGAGGAATGGATAGATAAATACATACAAGTTCTACTTTGAAATTTAGGCATTGCACAGAAATCCCCCCAGCAAGTTACTTAGCTAACCCTTAGATACAACTATGGTAATGTTATCATCGTTTTCATTTTATGACAAATCTATTAAATGAGGCACAGCGGAGGGCGTAGATTAGTAGTTAGAGTCTTTAGAGAATAAAGAATATAGTTAAACAATATGAACAAGGTTTTATAAACTTTGAGAGCACCTCTGGATCCCTCCAGTCAAGCTTAAATCGGCCCCTTTGTTCCCGGATGGTATTTTATCTGCTATTATAACTCATTCGGTAGCTGTTAATCCTTTATTATTATATAGCCTTTATGGTGATAGCAAAATGAACCTGACATTTAGGCGGTAATTTGAATACATTCTGTGGCAGAAATGAGCCTTCTGGTCTCTCTTGGGTCCAGATCTGTTTTTAGCCTAAATAATGGGCGAGATGCCTGTTGTTTTACTGCGATGCCCCTTCGGGAAAATCCATCGGCGTGTGTCAACGGCACGGCGATATAAATGCGGCAGCAACAGGCAAACCGGTGTATGGGTGTGACTTCAGAACACTTTTAAATAACATTTCATCTGTAATGTGGATGTGTTTTTTGTATCTTGCTGATACTTCGATATATAAGTCCTCAAATGACAAAGCATGGTCTGTTAATTCAAAATAAGAACAGAGATTTTATTCCTTTTAGGAGTAAATAATCCGGTCTAGTTTACATAAATTCAGAAAATTTGTATACTATGCAATTAATTTGAATCCAAGATGGAAGCAGCACAAATCTGTTGCATCTGTCTCATGAAACTTGGCCACTTAAAATCAGAACTGGAAGTTTTGTTTTTTGTGTAATCAGCACTTCTGTTGTTAAACACCTTAATCAGTGAAATCGTTTATGCGCAAACTACTATCTGAGCTGTGAACTGGATGTTGTGATGAAACGTGTAACTGGAGTCAGCAGGTATTAAGTTCCTTCTCTCAGGTTCGCACTGCGCAGTGAGCCCTCAGCTCTCAGCTGTGCCTGTCCTGTGGCGGTCTCGTCCTCTTTTGGGGGTTGCCATGACAGCATGACAGTCCCCCTTTGGCCTGCAAACAGCACGCCTGCCCTGACAGGTGGACACTTCCAGTGTGTCTCCATCTGCAGACATTTCAAAATAGTTGGTGTGATTCTACACACACACATCCTTTAAGATCTGTGCTCTGTCAGAAATAAGATGTACGATCTCATCTACCGATTACTGGTTATATATGTAGATTTGTATATATTTTCAGTAGCCTATTTGTCCTGTCAATTTTGACTGAAACAAATGGTAAATCTTGCCTTAATTAAAACAAAATGTCAATTTTAGTATTTTGTCATTTCGTTCTTGGTTGTGATTCTTAGATTGATGTTGAAAAGGCAAATATTTCCCAGAAATCTTCTGAAGCTAGCAGGAGACCGTGACTCCTGTTTTGTGACTGAGACCAGCTAAGAAATCGTACAGAAATCAATGAGGGAATCTGTTTGTGTCAAACCTGTGACCTGGTGTGAAGCGCAGAACTTGGTTGCTGCGATATCGGGCACCTTTGGACACCCCGAAAACCCCATAGGTAGAAGAAGCACCGGCATGGCATAGAAAATTGAAATTAACACCGCAGTTAAAATTAGTGGTTTATCACAGTCAGGAGAGGAACGGCAAAGCGCTATTAAGCTGGAAAGCATGAATCTCTGGGGAAGGATGGGGCTGTAATACTTCTGACTATAACTTCCAATAAAATCACATGTTATGTCCTCTGACCCCTTGGGCCAACTAGAGATTATTACATGGGAGTTGAATTAACACATGAGTAGGATAGGCCCCCATAAAATAGCAGGCGGTCCATGTTTACATTAGGAAATCTGGCAGGAAATCGAGAGGACGTGTCTCGATGAAGGAAATGGAAAGACGCAGCCTGGATGTGTCTGCAAAAATAACATTATCTACAGCCACAATGTTCTTCGTGTATTGATAGCTATATGGACGTTGTTTCATTAACCTTTACACTCACTCCAGTGCACCTGTAGTAGTCAAAAAATGTCTTTTTTGTTAGATAAATTATTAACTAGATTTAACTGAAAATGAGGGATTTTGATTTATTGCCGAAGTCTCCATTGTATCCCATGTGAAGATAATTCCTTGAAAATACCCATTTGCTCTTTCACCACTGGTCTCAGCCAATACCCCCCCCCCCCCACCATCTTCCCAGAATGCTCTATGGACAGACTGTCCTTTTTCATAGATTCATCTCCGTTTGTCCCGTTAGCATTCATTGTATTCTTTACAAAAGCGGAGAGGTAACTGGGAGCTGGGCAGGCGGGCAGTGGGACCAGCACATATGTGTTTGTGTGTGAAAGGGGAGGCCACATTGCGCTCTTCACGCAGGATTATGCGACGCCAGAGCCTCACTACTGACCATATGTCATCATGTATACAAAGGGCTGGATTATTATTTGGGTCTGCAGCCTTTATCTTTCATGTAAACTGAGGTTCTAAGTGCAAACAGCCCTAACTGCTTCTATTCAGGGTCCTCATAAGGTTTACAGTGTGACATACGAGTGGCCATATGTTTTCTGTAGTGAGAGCAGCATGCATTAGGGCAAGTGACTGTATACCTCTCCTGATTCCCATCATCATCAAAGTCGGCATAATTTTCATCCCCATCATCACCTTCGTTTATTTATTGTTGTTACTTATTGTAGTGGCTATTTTTGAGGAGTGACCTGCCTATCCCACACACACGCACACGCGCAGGTTTTGTTGCGCCATAGAGTCTGTGGAGTGGTGGGGGGGGGGAGGCTGCTGCACAAAAGCAGATCCATGTGCTGTAATGCGGCCCGAGGGATGTTTTGCATTATGCCTCCCCACTTCACCAGCAGGGTCCTGGCCGGCGCAAGCTCACGGCCCTTTGTCTCTGGCAGATGGAGGAGGGCCGAGAGGAGAGAAAGGAGCAAAAGAGAGAAAAGCAGCCAGTCTGTTCTCATTAAGCGTGGCATTGAATCCAAGGCACCGCTTTCCCTCCGTTTGCAGCACGGCGGTCTGACCCATTCACCCCAGTGCTCTAGCCATCTGCACGGTACACAGCCCAGGCACGTGGTGCCACGCGTTCCCCCAGCACTGCAACCTCTCTCCCGCCTCTTTGTCTGCTTTCTGCTCTTCCCGTGTGCGGTTTCCAACACTTTCACGAAGATCATTCATATTTCTTGTGTGTTTTGAAAATATAGCGTGTTTTTTTTATTATTATTATTTTTTACTGAACGCACGATGCCAGTATTACACCGTCCGTGCTGCAGGCGCGCAGGGTTGCTTGTCACGTGATCGTTTACATGAGACGCAGCATCAGGAACTCAGGCGGAAACTTGACAGTTTTTGCTTGTTGATGTAATTGATTTAATAACGAAGAC